AAGCGCGGCGGGGACCGGCTGTGCGGCGGCTCAAGGTCACCTGTGGAACACGCTGGGTCAAAGCAACAGAATCGTGGTGTTCTCTGAAGACACCGAGGGTTTATGGGCTTTTGGCTGAGAAAGACAGGAGGATGCTCTGGTATTTGTACAGAAGGAGAATCCAGCACTGCTCCAGCTTCAGCACTGCGAACGGTTTCACACAGGAGCAAGACACGATCCGTAGTTCCGAGCCAGAATGAGAAGGGAGACTTTGTGAGAGCCCTCGGGCTGCGGCCGTGCCTGCCGTGGGGAAGCAGAGCATTCTCCTTGTTCAAGGCGATGTAAAAAGTCCTTGATAACTGTTTTTGGTCACAGTGGGACATGGTGCTGAGAGCTCAGCCTCATCAGGTGGGGGCTGTTCACGGCTGGTGCCAGGACCCGAATCTGACCAAAGCAAACAGCAGCTCACAGACAACCCAGGGAAACCAGCAGAGCCGTTTATAGAGCCCGGGGCTGAACAAGCCGATGAGACGTGAGGCTGGAAGCAGCGAGTCCACGTGACTTGAATTACAACACAGTTTGCTTTGGGATTTTCTGAGTTGAAAGACAAAACTTGACCCTCCCAGCATGGTGTAACAGTGTAAAAGACAGATTTATTACACGCCATGGCAGGCTGGACTTTCAACTACTTTGAAAATACCTGTGGACTCCTTTTTTTCCTGTTACTGACATTAACATTTTGGTACTTTAAAAAAAAAATGAGACTTTATATATTCCAATATATTCTGCAGGGAGAAGAGGCCAAGAAGCTGTAATCTGTACACTCATTTCTGCGTTTAAAAATGCCCTCATCTGCTGAAAAAATCGGGGCCCTTCTTGCCTCAAGTGTTTCCTCAGGACCTGCCCGTTCGTGCTCTTTTCTGTTTTTCAGTCCTTTTACTGACACCTAGTGAATCCCGAGGAAAGTGCAGTTTCGGTTTTAAGAATCAATGCAACTGCAGTAACACGCGTTTCACGATTAAGGGCTAAATTACTGCATCTTATTTCAGTTATTGCCACTTCAACTGCCGTCGGTGGAGAACGACAACAGATGTGTTTTGGCCATTTAAAAAATTTAGATTTAAGCCCACAGTATAGTCAAACACTTTAGGCATTGGAGGCACAAAATTGATTTACTCTTTAACTTTGGGTCTGTGTTTAGAACAACACTGTTGTTTTAAATTTTGTCTTCCATTGTTGCTGCTGCTGGCCCTCCACAGCAGTCTACTTGAACACTGACAAGTATCTAGACTTCCACACACAAAACCCAAACTCTTGCAGGAGGTTAAGCTACACATTTTTAATATTTGGTATTCAGGAGATACGTACTGAGTCCTGAGCTTACCAAAAAAATCAGTCAGACCTGGTCCACTTGCTGCTCTGGACCAATCCAGAGTGGGTGTGAAGCCCTCTTTCATCAGCAAAGCTCTCCAGAGATGGAAAGCGTACGCCTGCTGGCTTGGAAGTCAGCTAAAGACTTCGAAGGCAGGGCGTCCTCTGCAGAGCGAGCATTCGTACACCATCGCTTTTGGAAGCGTAACCTCTTCTTTCTGAGTAGAAAAACAAGTGGCTGCTGCAAAGGTTTATGCTGGTATGGATTTCAGCTGTGCATATGACATGGCAACCAATACAAACCCAGCCCATAAATACTTGGAAAAAATACACAATAGCTTCAAACAGGCCAATATTAAATGACTGGAAGTAGTTCAAAAAACCCCAAGGCCTTGCTCGATCTAAAAGGCTTCAAGCTCCCCAACTAACCAGCCACTTAAGTCAGATTTGGAAGGGGAGGAGCTGAAGCAGCAACTGGAAAGTCTGAACGTGCTCTGGCAAGAGACCTGCCGGCGAGTGCCCTGGGCACACGCCCAGCCAGCCAGCGCAGGTACGAGGCCTGGCCTCTCCAACCACGTTTCCAGGCCGCCGGTTCAGAGCCAACTTTTCAGAATTTAGAAAACAAAGTCTTAAGGGAAGAATCAATTCAAGTACGGCAGCACCAGTTCAAACATTTTACTAAATCAATTCACACAATTTCAAAATTGTAAATATAATTAAGGACAACAGGGTTTCTGTATTTCTTTTTTCTTCCAGATTTATCATTAAGACAATAAACAAACACAAATTAGGTTTATAGCATCTCTTCTTTTTAAAAAATGAAAGGAACGCCACTTGATGTATTGATAAAGCACCACGACACAGTTACAAAATAGGGTCGGCTCGTTTCTTTCACAAGTAAAAGACTACGTACTCCTAACAGCTTTCTGCTTCAATCCATACTTCATTAAAATAAAACTATAAAATCTCCTAGATTACACTAAGTTCAGACGATGCCTGGTATACAGTGCATTAACAGCAGTAATGCCAACTATCAGTGCCAACGTAAAACATTTTAGAAAGTAAAAACAAAACAAAGAAACAAAACCCCAAACAAACAAACAAAAAAAACCCAAACAAAACCCCCACCTTTATTCCCCTAGATGAGCAAAATTTAAAATAAGGGATGCTCTGCTTCACAATGAGTTAAGGATTGAGGGAGGGTGAGGGGTAGAAGAGGGGGCTGGTACTGGAGCTTTCTAGGCTTAGTTGGCATCTAGCTTGGCCATTTCCTGCACGTATATCCCTATACTCTCACTGTCAAAGAGCACAAAGTACACCGTCTTGATCGAAGAGGACATTGTTGACACAAAATAGCTGGAGATGGCTTTCAGGATCAGCTGAGCAGCCGTTTGCTTTGGGAAGCCGTTCCTAGGAGAGACAAAAAAAAAAAGAAAGAAAAATCAAGAGTTGCTGAACAAGCCTGTGATGGTACAACCTCGCAGGGAACGCGGCATCTTTCCTCTACCCCAGCCCGGTAAATAAAGCTACAAAGCCAGTGTTTACAGTCTGAATTGAAGGCTAGAAACTTGTTTGTTTAGGCAAGGCTTAAAGTGTTCCAACAGAAGAAAAGCATTCCTGAAATATGAATACAGAGTCCACACACATTAACGGGTTGAGTCTTAGAGTATCTGATGGGTCAATTATTCCCGTTGAACAGACAGGTAAACCAACGGCCTGAGGCGCTCAGGAAAGCAGCACATATGTTAGAGTGGCAGGGTCAAACCTGTGCTGAAAGCAAACCAGCCTTCACAGAAAAATAAAAAGGGACAGAGAACGCGATAGAGAAAATGAAGCGTGAAAAGACACAAGGTGCAAAATGGTTTTACCGCTATTAACGGTGAATAATATAGCCCAGATTTTCAAAAGTTACTCGTACAGCCTCGCTGCAGATGAAGAGAGCACGAGTCCTACAAGTCTGGTGGTGAGAAACACCACTGGCCACACCCTGCCGTTACACACGTGGTAGAAGCAGCGGAGCAGGCCAAGGGAAGGCGAGCACGGCTGCCCTCCTGCGGCACAGCGAGCCTTGTCCAGATGGGGTCAGCCAGCTCGACCGGGCTCGGGAAGCCAAAGTAGCTGTGCCAGGGCTGAGGACAGCCTTAAGGGACCTGCCGGCTTTTCTAAGCCAAGCTCAGCAACGCTTCCAACCCTCCTTACGTCCTTTTTAATGGCAGGCTGATTCAATAGGGTCTAGAGACTAAATCTCATGAGGAGCGGCTGAGGGACCTGCCGTGGTTCAGCCTGGAGGAGGCTGAGGGGAGCCCTTGGCGCGCTCTACGGCTGCCTGGAAGGAGGCCGCTGTGACGTGGGGTCGGTCTCTTCTCCCAGGTAACAAGCGATGGGACAACAGGGAAGGGAGTCATATTGTGCCAGGGGAGGTTTACATTGGACATGAGGAAAAATTCCTTCACCGAAGGGGTTGTCAAGCGCTGGAACAGGCTGCCGGGGACGTGGGGGCGTCACTGTCCCCGGAGGTATTTCAAAGACGTGCAGATGATGCTCAGGGACATGGTTTAGCGGGGGGCTTGGCAGTGCTGGGCTAACAGTTGGACTCGATGATCTTAAAGGTCTTTTCCAACCTAAACGATTCTATGAAGTACAGTCCTAAGGAAAGCATCTTGAAAGACACCTCTTGGTATCAGCTAGCGAGGCTGGAAAACCAGAGGCCCTTCTACTCCTCTAGCACTGCCTAGAGAAGAGGCTCCTGCCTCCTCCTTCTCCACAGCAGCACAGACAAACAGAACAAACCTTCCTGCTTTCTCAGGTGGCAAAACTGCGCATGACTGAATTTCAAAGCTCAGTGCCTCATCTGGGAACCCTTCTCAGAAGCTTTTTCATGTTTTTATCTAGCAGCCTTTGTCTGAAAGTTTCACCTAATCTTAAAACAGGTCAAGCACAAGTAGAACAGTCTGAACAAAGCCAGGACCTGAACAGTGAGTTTTATAGGTCACAGCAAGCTCCTGAAAGCTACACCTGGTAAGGACTCTGAACGCGGCCTAAGCTTTGCTGCTGCATTCCTCTTGAAGCACCACTACTCACTCAGACTGTGGTTTCGCTGTAGCCAAAGTCTGAGCACTCCCCGAGCTGCAGTAATGAGTCTGAAGGTGATGGGACACAGTCACTCTGTTATGAGTGGGACCCAAACAGAACTTGAAAGAGCACATTGAACATCCCTGGGTTCCCTGCCACGCGTACGACGGTCAGTACTCCCTGCTATAAAGTGTGGAGCATTAATACTGCTACTAAGTCACAGATTACACAGATGGCCAAGTTTCTCAGTGTCCTCAGCGATTCAAAGAAGCTGGGCTAAATTCACCTCTGGCAGGTGCAACATCACTTAACATTTGCTCACTGAAGCACCAAACTCTGATAATAAAATGCTGTTGTACTCTCCCACTCATTACAGGCAGCAAGACACAAAATGAGGAAGGCAACTGCCTGTGTCACGGCCCGCTTACTGCGCATTACCTTACCATAAAATACACTCCGAGAGCAATTCTGTGGTAGGGCTGCCTGTAATGTGATATTACACATGCTGCCTGAAGATAATGCTTGTGATATTTCAAAAACGATGACATGAAATAGCTCATGCTGTTTCTTTCTTTACTGAAAATGCCCAATTTTTTCTTTTACTGAAGAAGAGGAGGGAAAAAAAAAAAAGGAAAAAAGCATTGTGAGAAAACCTTGTACTCTTCCAAAGCCAAATGAGCTGGTCAGGGAGAGCGTGTGACAAGTTAATCAACTGAGAGCAGAGTTTTGACATGGGAGCTACTTCCTACTGTTTGCTGACACAGAGACAAAGACACGGACCCAGCATGACTCCACGTCGGATCACTTGCTGGTTACTTATGAATGCTGCATCCTGGCATATATTGAACAGATCTTGAAGGAATTTTGCTCCTGAGCAGGAGCTGTCGTGCAGGCCAGCAGCAATATCAGGGCATCCACCGTTTCTGAATTGCTGACAGGGGACTCTGGAGTCCTACAGCTTCCACTGGGTCCCAGCAGGGTGACCCCAACAGGGCAGAAGAAGGAAGAGCAGCCTGGCCAAAGGGGGACACGCACAAGGGGAAGCCAACTGAAGTAAAAAGGACTGTCACAAAAGAAGGGAAACAGAGCAGAAAAAAACAGCAGTAGGATGCTGACCCGATCAACGGCCACGTGTGGGCTGCAAGAAACAGAAGCCTCTTGCATCGATCTGCTGGTCCGAGTTGAATTCTTGGGCAAAGGCAGTTGGAGACTTCAGCCAAGCTCGCGTCAATTCAGATCAACGTCAGAGCCTCAGAATGAAACCTTTACACCGAGGATGATTTTGTGTTAAACCCCTGACTCTCTTGTCCCTGATCTCCTGCTGGCCCTACCAGACTGAACTCCAGGCTACCTCTGTAGGGCACCCAGCTTATGCTTTCCACAAGTTGGCTGTAGCGAAGCATCTGGCCCACTGAACGCTACAAGTATGCTATTTTATTTCCCCCTGTGATTTATTTGAACTGCCCTCATGTAATCCCATTCCTCAACTATAAAAGAGAATGAAACTGTTTATGTGGGTTTATTGGGTGATGTCTGCTTGACAGATGTCTGTACTAGAACAGCTGCGTACATGTGGTGTCTTTGGCATTTGCTGTCTTTAAAAGCTTTACTTTTATTTTTTTTTTTAATGCTTCTGACTTCATAAAAACAAGTAAGGAGTATTGTCAGGATATATTATCTTCTCTCCAAAATTAATTTATGCTTGAATATCTCTAATTCAGAGAAAAAAGGGAAAATACACAACCTCATATATTTCTCAAGGCCTGTTGAACCCTCTCCATCTTTCAAAAGAACCAGTTCAACTGCCTTGAGAGAGAATGACGTGCACATGCCATGTTGGGAACTCGGCTGCAGATCGTGCCTGTCAGTAACCAGATTTCATAACAGAATGTGAATCTCATGATTATTCAGGGTTTCATCATCTTCCAACACCAATCAAGTTCTTGGTAACAAGGGCTGGGAATGGCTCTTCACTGGGAGCTAGCCAGAAAAGAAGGGGCTCTGTGGAAGGTACTTCACACAGTCTCGCTGTAGGCACCTACATAACCAATTCCAGTGACTCTACAGGGCATGGAGGAACATGGTTTCTCCCAAAGAGCAATCCAGAGCTTCTCTTTATACTGATAGTCTGTCAACCTGACAGCTAATTCCAAAGGTTACTAAGAACCCTCTGCTCTATTTCTCCACTGTTCCACAAAGTTTGCTCATGTCACCTCCTTAAAACGACACCTATGCAAACTAACCTTATTTGGAGTTTTGTCTGATGCAAGTTGCTTAAATTCACTATCCTACTGAAACTTCTACTCCTTCCCTGTCATTCACCCCAAAGCTGCAATAGCACTTCCCGCCCTGACCCACAGGATCTGCAGGAATTAACCTAGTGCTGCAACACGGCACAACCGGAAGAACGTTCTCGCTGTACATCAGCAAACCTCTTTCATGGCACGTTCAAAAGGGGCGGTCGTTCAGGGTTACGCACGCCGCTGTAGATTTGGCCCTTGGTCTTCACACTGAACCATCATGACGGGCCAAGTGTTCCAAATCTCCCTCCCTACCCCAAATTCAAGAGCTCAGATTAGAGGTGCAGTCCATATTCAGGCTCTTAAGAACATGATCCAACTTTCTAAGGCACTGAGCATCCTGTACAGAGCCAGAGGACCTTAACTTTAGACTTTGGCTTTCAAAGACCTTGGTAAAGGCTTTTCAGGCCTTTTTTTTTTTCCCCCTGAAAGTGTCCCAAGCATGGAATTCAACTTAGGGTTTGGCTGAAAGCTTGAAGTGACTCAGCAAATCCTGAGAATCAAGGCACTTCAGATTTGCTGCTTAAACTAAGCCATGTCTTCTGGCCATCCTAAGACATATATTGCAGTAAGTTTAATTGCGCGCTAAAACTAGGTAAAATAGACCCCTTTTCTTCATGTGCTCCTCCACATTCCAAATTTATACGAACAAATTGATAGTCTGAAAAAAGTCTTTGAATATCCTCTTTAAAAGTTTGGTTTGAACTCTTTTCAAAGCTCTTAACCCATTTGCATGGTTTAAGGTTCTGCGGGGATCACTACGAGACCTGCCAAAGCTGAACCAGCATTCAGAACAGGCTCCACTCACAGCTTGAACAAACCTAGAAGAACATTTCGTTTAGGGAACTGATTTAAATGAAGAAGAATGAAGTCAGCGTTGTAACAATGGGTTTTGTAGAGGAGAAGGGACTGGAACATACGAGATAGCACTTAGAAACGTGACCTATTTGGCATGAGGTTTGTGTAACAGCCTTACCTGCCACTGCCAATCGAAGGAAACGCAATTGATTTCAGCTTCTTTTCATCAGCCAGAGCCAAGCAGTTCTTCACCGTCTTTTCCAGCAGCTCCTCGCATTTGTCCGAGCCCCAGCCCGGGCTATTACAGTGGATCACAAATTTCGCAGGCAATCCATGGCCAGCACTGACAACAGCTAGTAAGAAACGAAAGTGAAACATAATTGCTTTCCTCTCCTAAGGATTAAAAGAATGCATATGTGATTAAAATAGCAAACAACTGACAGGCATTCCTTTAGCCCCCGTGAATGTTTTAGATTACAAATCACACAGCCTTAAAATATAACAACATGATTACAGAGACTCTGTATTTTCCATTTCCAGCTGCACTTTGCTGTGGTAATTTATAAATCATAGCTATAATCGAGCTTATTTTAGAGAGAGCAAGAATTCATGGCTGACATCAAAGGAAAGACATTTATATTGGAGATTGTGCAAACCTGTGTAATGTGTAAAGGCGGCGGCAGTAATCTGTTAGAACGTAAAGCCCTCCAAGGGATGACCTTGCTCTGGAGCAGTTTCTGCAGAGCTACAGCAAATACCAGGACACGGGACAGTCGCACAGAGTTACGACCTGTGTGACCTTCAGCTGGTCCCGCCAAATACGCAGCTTGTTTAGGGAGCTTCTGATCCCACTGCAGCCCCGCCGGGACTGGAGCTTCAGTGCTCTGCGAACTGGTAAGGAAGGTGATTTCTGCTTTATGTCTGGTTTTGTTTCTGAGTAAATGTAAAAGCAACATTTTGTGCAATTTCAAGACTTTGGGCCTGGTCTTGTCCAAGCTTTTTTCTGTATGTGTCATCCAAGACCACCGAAACGATTCCTCTTTCATCCCATTCTTGACAGATGGTTGGAGAGAATGCATTTATAGATTTACACTGTTTATATACTAACAGGCAAGGCCTCGTGTGTTCAAAGAAATGGAGAAGAATTTTTACCATGCTGACTGTATATTATCAGCATGATACTACCACAGACGTGGGGGGACTGAGAGGATGGAGCAGAGCCTGCCTACAAACTCCTGCCAGCCGGGGATTCTGCAGGCGAGAGGCCATCTCGCAGCAGGAGGACACGTTCTGGGCTCACCACTTCCCATTGCAGAACAACAACAGACTGTGCTCCGCCTGCCAGAAAACAGGGTTAAGAGGATCGCTGCCGTTTCTGAGCTCACAGGTCTGTGGTTGCAATTAAAAACTTGTAACTTGGGTTTGTTAAAAAAAGAAAAAAAAGGGAAAAAAAGAGAGAAGAAAAACACCTAGTTGAAGTCTCACAGGATCATACAGTGGACCTTCACAAAGAGCCAGCCCCCTACCACGCACGCTTTGGGTTATAATTGTGTGGCCACAGAAGTGTAGGTATAAAATGGCAGCTTATGTCTTCAAAAATAATAATAAAAATACCAATAATTAAAAAAAAAACCAACAAAACAGGTTTGTAAAGGTGCAGAGTAGATCCTCTACTCCATTCTGGAATGTTTATGAGGCATTTTGTCATTTAAGTATAGTAGAAATAACTCCTGGAGAGCAATCATCGCATATGGATACTATCCTGGAGCTGCCGCAGGAAAGAGAAAAAAGCCTTTGCCATATGGCACTCTGACCGGAGGTGAATCAGCAAGCAGGGTCTGAAGGACAATGGAAGCACAACCGTTTATGTTCCTATGGGTTTCCAGATTCTCAACGTGTTGCATAGCCTCAGCGTTAGGCAATGCTAATTTGTCATAATGGGCAACTAAAATGTTGGCAGATTCAGAATACATCATAAATCCAAGGAAAATCTATTAAAAGCAGCTGACATATCTCTAGTCAGACGTGAAATGTGGCTAATATCTTCATCTTGAAAGAATAAAATACTGTATGATACACATCACCAACTTTAGTATTTCTCAGGGAGTGTTTTCTAGGGTAGTCATTAATTAACTCATTAAGATTCTGTTGAGGACAACTGTTAATTACCAAGAGCAGTTGTCCCCTTACTTCAAATGCAAATGCTCTGAAAGGGGAAATTAGTTATGCTTCTGCTGTAGAAACAGAGAGAGAACACCACGGACACGTTTGTGCTAGTCACAATTATATTCCAGGTAAGGACCCTGGTTATTGGTAGATTAAAGGGATACCCGTATAATCAAGAAATCTGAAAACTGGAAATCTGTATGACTGAGAAACTGATGTGCATCCGTTCTTCTCTAACAAGTCCCTAACAGCCAGTTTCTCCAGTGTAGGGTCGAACTCCCCACCAGGTAAGACTGCCAAGCCGCCCTCAGATCTGATGGACGTGCTGATGGCTGAGAAAAAAAAAAAATCTCTTCCCTCCATCTTGCACCCTATTTGTGAGCAGTTTGGTCTGATAAGGAATACTGTACAGACCTAAGGAAAAAAAAAGTGAGTACCTGAGTCTACATATTTTTGCAGAACAAGAATTCCAAGAAAAACTTATTAAAAAATTTTAAAAAGCAAGGAAAAAACCCCACATATTAAGCACCAGAAGTAAACAGTTGTAATTTTTCCTGTCAGGGCTGAAGTCTTACATCTCTCCTTCGGCTTTAGTTAGAATTCGTTTACAAAACTGTGCACACTGTATTTATTTTTATAGCATAAACACAGATGGCAGAATCGGCCTTCTATATGAACAACATGTATCAGCAGTTTCACAGATGGTGTAAAATTATGTATCGCCATTACTAAACTTTATTACTCATATAGTAGATTTTTCTCAGATATTACATAAATTTTGATAACTAGGCATCAAAAAGTCATAAGCTTTTGTAGTGATGATTTTGGCACTGATTAAACAAAGCACCCAAGCAGATGCTTAAGCACGTGCTCAAGTCCAGTGAAAGTCAGCGGCATTTCAGCAAAGCAGATGTTAACCAGAGTTGGACTCAACTGTTCTGAAAAATAAAAAAGCACCTCATTAACTGCCTTGCTGACCTGTGCCCTCCGTAATCCGGATTCGTCGTGCACGCACGTACCTGTGACTACCCTGCTGTCACCTGGAACATTACACCACTACCCCATTTCCCAGGGGCTTTGGTAAAGGCGACTGAAGAGGCGACGTGTGTCTTAACTTTGGAGAACACACATGTCCCGTCACCCGCAGGAGGTGTCTGCAGACAGCACGAACCCCAGGAGCTCGGTGGCCGACCGCAAACGCCCGCCGGGTTGTGTCTGCAGGTCCCCGAAGCGCAGAACCTCACCTCCAGCTATGTCCAACGGCCCGTTCTTTTTGCGAAGCTCAATGACAGCTTCCACAAACTCCTTGCCGCCTTTCTTTTCCAAAGTGCTCCCTGAACAGAGAATTGGTATTTTACTCCTCAGATCCCAGGCTTCCACAGCAGACATGTGACTCATCGTTTTGGTTTTTTTTTTTTTTTTTTTTTTTTATGACATCGCTCTAGAGTTTTCTGCCCAAACATTTTTTGGGGACTGCAAAGTAAGATCTAAACCTTTTGGGACTTCGGAATTAGCTAGTCATTAAAAACAACAACAACAACAACAGAAAGAAAAAACCAAAAAAGACAACCCTAACAACCCAAAAACCTCACGTCGGCATCCCTCGCTAACATTCTCAGACTCCGGTTTTAATGTCAAACCATTTGCCATGACATCCCTACCTCCTTCCTTATCAGGAGCATCTGTTAGTGTGAAATGGTCCAGAAGAAGGTGCTAGCTCAAGAGAGGTTGAAGGTTCATAACTCCTTCCCCTCAGGTTCATTTCCCCTCTCTCTTACAAATTGTTTTAAAGAGCCATTTGCCACAATAAGAATTTGAAACTCACCTGATCTTGGTCCCTGACCCCAACAGGTGGCACCAGGAATGAAACAGTCTCGTGAGTGCAGCGGGCTGCTTTACTTGGTAACTGCCCAGCTTGTTGAGCCACCTTTAACCAAGAGGAAGAGCCTCAGAAATAAGGAGAATCTCTAAGGAACATATTCCTCCAATGAACTTCTCTAACTACAGCTAAGGAGCTGGACAAAGTCATTCTGGGAGGAGAAGAGCTGTGCAGTGTTTCAGGGCAACCAAAAGGTATGCTGTTTACAAAGGCAGTCCATCACTAAATGGTTTAGATCTTATTTTGCAGCTCTAGTTTTAAATATTAATATTAAAGAAAAAAAAACAGCCCAAGAAAGCATTTTCCTAACTACATAAGCATCCCACATAATTTTGCACTGTGCATATTAATTATAAAGGTAGATAAGCAAAACAGCAGTGACATCATAAAGGCTCTGATTTGAGATATTACTTTGAAAACTCATTTCCAGAAATTCAGCACTAGGATCTCTAAAGATCTAGACATTCAGTTGGTGAAACCCCTTACTTTAACTGATGAAGAAAGAAAAAAATGCATTTTCTGATGGAAGTGCACATACTATACCCTCAAGGAAGCAAAGCCCCTCCTCCAAGATTCAGTTTACTAAACAGGGTTAGAGCTCCAAGAACCAAGAGGACTGCAAGACGCTTTTGCTTTGACACCATTGCTAAATCTCTTCCAAAACAAAGATTAAAAGTTGAAAACAACAACGCATTTATTTGTTGATTCCAAAACTGACTCGGGTGACCCTGCCTCTATTTTGCTATCGGCAACTTATTGCTTTTCGGGTACAAAAGCTGAGGATAATTAAAAAATGTATGCCTTGTTTTTTGCTTTTTTTTCATAACTGATTCACAATGGGCATTTGCCAAAAGCTGGATTGCAAGGTCAGACTGCGCAGGTCAGTGTAATTTGCTCTTTGTGCTCATTTAAGCTTTTTTACATAAATACTTTGGTCTAAGTTTATTCAGACAAACTCCTCACTAAGAATTTTTTGAAACTCCAAGTTACCTACCCCCGTGCAACGGAATGGAAGGCACCATTTTACAAATCTCTCTGATAAGACAGTAAATGGCTTTATTTGCAGCAGCAAGGTGTCTTAGGGGGGTGTGCTAGGAAGGGAGATCCATGCTGGGCCACGCCAGGCAGCGCCCTTTGGTGTGGCTGACACCAGGGTCTTCCAACATCGCTCTGACAGAGAAGGGATGGGGAGGGAAAGAAACAGTCTTCCATGCTCGTTATACTCTGGTTGCATGTATTTCCATATCATTCCTATTTATATTTGCATACATTCCAGCTATATTCCCCTTGAGTCCATGAACTCGGATCATTCCTAAACCCCATGACATTCATAATCTTTAATTTCTCTTGTTTCAAGGGGAAACGTAATTAAGCCTTGTGCAGAACCTAGGAACAGAAAAGATCTATTAAGTAGGTCACTTCTTTGCCATTGCAAAGCTGTTGTACATTTAATGGAATTCAGCCTAGTTTGGTTTAATGCAATCCAGAAGGATCAGCTTTTTCCCTTCTACTGGGAATTAATTTATAATTAAAAGCAATGAACAGCCCTGTCAGTTTATTTCACTGAGCTCTCTTCCTGCAGATCTGGTACAAAGAAGAGCAAAAGCAGTGTTTGGTATGAACCAGTGAGGTTTTCTGCATTTACTCCTCAATTATGTCCTCCTTCTGATTAATAGTGAGGGTTTATATTTCAGAACAATGTTGTAAATTAGCTTCATCAGGAAAGGACATACTGTATTTAACCATTTTCCGCTACATTAGCAAGTTTCTTGATGGAAGTCTTGCTTCACAGCTTCAAGGTTAGTAGCTTATTTGCTCACAGGCATAAATATGTGTCACTCCCATGAGAATAAGACCATTATCTCATGCTTTCCAAGCAGGCATTGGTATCAGTGTTGAAAACAGCGTTAGCAGAAATTTAGGCTCTAAAATTCTCAGGATAAGCCCCCAGTACATTTAAATTGTTAGGGAAAAAACCAACAAAAATTAAAAAAAAAAATTTAGATGGGTAAAAGTTAATCATTGGAAGCTAAGCATTTGTGCACTTCTATTCTTTCTTACAGCAGTCAGAGGCAACAGGAACCTACACTAAGGAATGAGCAGTGCAGCTTCGAGAGACAATTTTCTTTGTAGGGCAGCAAAGCATTTCTTTGTCAAAGGGTAGGAGACAAGCCCGTTACCTAAATGGGTCTGACAGACTTTAGAAGCATATTCTTCAGACACAGGGGATCAGGACACTTTTGTTTTAATGTCTCTGCATAACGTTTGGCCAGCCAAGTCCCAGCTGTTCCTGCCCAACAGGCTACACCGAGCTACATTTGCTTGGGGGTTCTCAGAGAGCAGCCCCTTCAGGAGCAGCGGGTGGCGCAGGAGGGGCCAGCTCTGCAGCAGGACGCGTGTCCCTCCAAGCCAGCACTGAAGCAGGGCCTCAGGCGTGGAGGGAGACCACTCACGTAGCGATGATGAGGTTAGGAGAGATGTAGAACACAGGCTGGGATCGGGTGGCACTTTTTGGTGGGTCACCACCCTGACCAGCAGCTTCTATGTTCAGCCCAATCTCTGATTTGCCTTCCCAAACCACCGAGGCAGTTCAGGTGAAGTACTGCTACCCTTCCACAAAATCCTTCAAAACTCTGTACGCAGAGAGGGGTGTTACTAAGACAGAGAGTTCCTCAGGGGACACTTAAGATACTGAATTAGGACGTCTGTCATGTTTTCTATCGTGCCTCCTCTCGTCGGTCTAGCCGAGGTAACTGATCGCCTGGACAACGTCTGCAGCGTCACTAGCCGTGTGCTGGTGGGTGTGAGGACCGTGGAGCAGGGCTACGAAGGTCACCGGTCCACCAGGTAAAACACGGATTAACTAACCCCTCTTGAGGGTGCAGAACATACAGATAGGCTAGATCCAGCATGTCAGATGTGAACATCTGAAACTTGGCGTGGAGAGGGTGTACAAAAACGGGTTAGAAATCTAACGATCAAGACTCAAACCACATTCAAGACAGGCATTGGACACGTCAGGCAAACAGGGCAGTAATTCCTTTTCCTCGGTCACGTGTCTGCATTGAAAGTACCGTTCCTGCGCTCCAAATTTTGGTGGTGGTTTCTACGGTTAATTCTGAAAGTCCGATTTGGTGATAAAAATCAAAAATCCCTACTGAGTTTGCAATTATTCATTTCTTTTTGTTATCGGTCAGGACTGCTGGAAGTGAGAAATGAATGCAAATCTGCATAGCTACAACAAGCTTGTGGCTGCTGATCGACCATGCACACACATACAAACTCCGCAGCACTGAACTTTCCATTACCTACTTCACCACCGGTGTAGAAGTCAGAGTTTGTCGGGTGAACGACAGCATCACTGTCGATCGTGGCAATGTCAGCCTGTACAACTTGCAACTACAACAGGTAAACAGATGTATATCAACCACGTTGGACAGAGACCCAGCACAGGCTCTACATTTACACATGTACCAACGTCCATATTTTCCTACCTTTACATCTCCAAACCTTGCGCCAAAGGAGTATGCTGAGTTGTGTGTGCAGGTGTGTGTAGAGAAAGGGGTGTAGGAGGAATATTGAGTATGACATGATCAAATAAATATTAAAATGACAAGTCAGAGCAATCACATGAGATCATTTCCAAACTTTTAAAATCAGCTAATACCCCCTTTCACTTTGCAGAAGCCTAGAACAACCAGTTCCCCACAGAGCATGATACTAAAATATGGAATCTGTTTAAAAAAAGAAATTCAGGATCATCAAGCCAAACAAAATAACTAGTTTCTCCATTTTGTCAGCATCAATAAGCTGACAGGCACTAATCTTCATATCCATAGCGATTCATCATTTTGTTTCTAAAAATGACAGTCTCCTTCACAGGGAGGAAACCATGTATTTGCAGACAGGGTTATACTGAATTTGCTTTAAAAAAATGTAAATGATCGTGCTTGTATTTCAAGGGTAAGGCATATCTTCTAATTCTGTGTCGGAATGCTTGAGACACTTGTAAAAATATATATATTTCTGAGAAAGGCTGATTTAAAAAAAAAAATCAGCCTCCTTAAGTATTTTTCTTCTTAAATTACTTGTGTCCATTCCCATAGGAAATGCAGTAGCACAAGAATTATGAGTTGTATTCCATTAAGGAAGTTGGAAAAAAAGACAGCAGCAGGGGTAATCAAATAAGAAGGGAATGCAGTACATAATGCATGAAAGTTCATTTTTCTTTCACTTTTGCTGAAGAAGAGACTTCTGTTTAAGACAGATTTTTAAATTTTTTTTTTTTTTCCATCTGGAACCAGACAGAAGCTTTAAAAGCGACACACCACCTAGGGTAGTATCTACAAGTTCACTGTCGGTATATCAGTATTTGTTTTCAGCTGAACGATAAAGTGACAGGGAGTAATTGAAGCATCATGGAAACAAATTATTTGATTGAATTAAACATGAAATCAAGGGAGGAAAGATTTGGGGATAGTTAATTATTTAATCACTCCTCTTTAAAAATTTTATGCCTACTCTGAGTATCAGGAAAAAAACCTGAGATCACAGCTAGAATGGAGAAACTGCTTATTTTGAAAACAACCTGACAAAAGAGTATTTTAGTCCTCAGAGTATCCAAATAAGAAACCCCCCAAAATAGCTAACAGTCACATATGATCATTATGGAAAAGAATTTAAATTATTTGTTTCAACTGAAATCAACTTGAAGACTAGCAATAGCTGCAAGTACTCAGATTTGGTGAAAAAGTCTTTTGAACGTAGTTCTTCAACAAAACAGAACCTGCAAGATTTGAATTTCTGCTCTTATTAAATGTATGAAGCCCTAGAGAGTAAATTCTGGGTTCCATAATTTCCATGTGACCGTTAGTTGTGTCAACCCATGCCCCATTTACCTAGGTCATCTTTAAGGTCAATGTCAGCATTGGTAGGATTGATAATGGCCTCCACCTCGAAGCCGGCTAAATTACTGATTTCACTGTGAATAAGGTTCAGCTGAAAAGAAAAGCATGAGGTGGGAAATAACAGGACAGCTGGGAAATCACAGAGAAGCTGCAGAAAAGTGAGCTTTGCAACACAGATGGAGATAGCATCACTGCAAACAAATATGCAAAATAAAAGGCAGGTCATAAGGGAGGGTTATTATCCAAAAAAAATTCAAACACAAGACTCAAACATTGTTCACGCTGGGAGGACATTAATGTACCTACTAACAAGCTCTGTTTTGGCTTTATGCTGACCACTATTTGGGATTCTTATTTTGGCATTATAAGAGGGTATTTGTTTCTCCTCAAAATATAGATGAAAGACGCCTTAATCATTTCTTAAGCACCGATTACAGGAATGTGCCGTGACCGTTCAGCACTGAAACTGGATAAAAGATGCTGTTCCTCCTTCTTTAAGCCACCAAACATGAGCCTATCTTTGAGAAAGCACACACTTGTCTCCAGTGACTCCTCCATCCGAACAAGGAGACCCGGTTCTTTTCCTTTCCTTATTAGTGGTCACCACATTCTGCCTTGCAGGCGGCTTCAGTTTTTGTTTGCTCAGTTCTGCTGCCTTTGGGAACGGCTGGTGTCGTTCTCTGAGCAGGCATGATTATGTGCTTAGCGCTTCTAGGTTTTACTTTACTTGCTTTACTTCCTTCTGTCATGTATGAAAATAGAGATTTTAACCCCACCCACTAATGCCCATTCACTCCGCTCATTAACACCCAGGTATTTTATTTAAAGCTTCTCAACTGCTGCCTGCATCGTTACAAAATCAGAAGGCTCCCTCACAGTCATACCACAGGGTGAGGAAGTCAGCAGAGATATCTCGAGATGAACATCACCTCCTCACTACCTGCTCTTAAAAGAATAGAAGAACTAATGAAATATGAGGAAGTGCAGATTTCAACTTCTAGCTTCAAGACTTACAAACTCATATATAAACTAAGAAGCCAATGAAAAAATCAGACCAGCAATGGTGACCAACTGATCCCGCCATGCCATACTCGTGAGGATGTTTTTTCGGAAGTGCTTAAGAGGTGTCAAGAGACAGCACAGTTTGCTCACTACTGCCAGCTCGGGCGTCTCGTCACAATATCACAGAAACAACCCCGTGATCTGAGGCAATCTGATGTGAATGCCAAACTCGGCGAAAGTCAGAACTGCAGGATGCTGACAGGTATGGGAAGAAGCTTGGAACCACTGACACAGCTTTGTAGCCAGCGCTGAGAAGTCTGATTTCACACGCACCAAGTTTTCTACCGCCAAAACTTACAACACTTTAAAGGGCAACAAGTTTTCCATATGGGGAAATACATTATGTACGTTGTAAATTATGCTTCTATCTATAACATGCATTTAAAATGATCGTTTCAGGAGCTGATTAGGCAATATGGACAGCAACTACGAAAGAGAAAGGTCTCATTTATGCAAGTCCTGAAGCCTGCTGCAGCTAAGCCCAGCTTCCCTTCTAATCCAAAGCCCGCTGGGTTCAACCTATGCAGCACAACATATACATTCAGGCATGGCAATTTATCTCCTCAAGAACTGAATTTTGTCTCTTGGTTTGTAATCCATGTTCTGTAAACTTAACTCTTCAAATCTCCTCCTTGTGTACGGTCGTTCATTAACAGGGAATACAAGCCAATTCACGAAATCGATACAAGTGAATGGGTCATTCAAGGAGGCCAACATCCATATATTGAAGTTTTATGAAAAAAAATATTTCCATTTCATTCATGTGATTATCTGAATTGACCTTCTCTCTCTTTTTAAATGCCTGCCATTTCATATGATTTGCGTATGTTGCTTGAGTAAACTACATTCTCTCAAAATAGGGTGATTTTGGCTAAAAATGAGGGTAATTCAGCCCTGTTTTAAGTACGGGTCTGTTCGGAAATTTGTAATAAAATCTAAGAAAGCTTGCTTTCCAAATAGCTTAGAATTCTTTTAAACACTTCACATGTGGCAAGCTATTCATACTTGAGTTTGAGTCTTGAGTTTGACTACAAGCAACTGCTGTTTAAAAAAAAAAGTAAAATCAAATCAAACCAAAATGTTAAAGAAACATTATGAATTTGGAAATTAAAAAAAAAACCAACAAACACATGCACACACCAAAAGACTGTTTTGTGGAGATTTTAGTATGTTCCTAAGCATATTTTGTTCATTTTATAGGTGACTCTCTTTGATTCCTAATTCTGTGTGCTACAAGTTTTTGCCCCAGATGGACTGGCTGCAGACCATTTAGGTTTCATACCTTTAATCTATCTCTGCTCCTACTCATATATGGGATTTACACAGCAAGCAGCTGGTAATTAAAGTTTCAACTTAACAGCAACAACAAAATGCTTAAAAAGCTGCCCACCACTGATACCATGTGTTGGTAGCTAAGTGTTATTTTGTTAAATTTTGCATTTCCTGTTCAATGCACTGTTAGCTGCTGATTGCCAAAGATAATAATAATAATAATAATAAATCAGAAGTTTGTTTGTAGAATTAAATCCTCCAATGAGTAATTGCTCACTTTTACTACCCAACAGCATGAAGCACGTATTGGTCAGAAGAAGTGATCCCCTAAAGCGTCACTTTAAAAAGATAGATAGGCACATCTTGCACATACATGTGCGACAAAGAATGGACATAACTTTAGGTGACATTTAAATTAAATGTTAGTTAGATAAAATGCAGATGGTACTTAGCACATCCACGAGTATTTTCTGAGCCAAGCCTTGCATTTCTTATTTCAGACAAAATTACCTTTAAAATCTTGGAACTTTTTCTGGTATGAATTTCATATAGAAAACTGCAGACGCCCACTGCAGACAACAAGCTGAGGTCTCTGTCAAAGTCCATACCCTAACGCTCAGGCTTGAGGTCTTAGAACTCTGCCTCTGCTCCATAATTGTCTCAGGAAAAACAAACTAGTTAATGTACAGAACACCACCTTTCCGTTGGGATGTCACTCGTAGGATGTGCGATCATTTACATATTAACTAGATTGTAATACTTAATTAGCGTAGCACTAATACACTTCTACAGGTATAACTGAAGGGTTCTGTGCCATTTCCTGATCTCTAAGAATTTCTAGCTGTCAGCAGTTTCCTAAAGATCTAATGCAATAACAGTACTTTCTAATAAATGGAACAATACCCAGGTTTGCAACATTCTCATTTATGTTTTCAGTAATTAAATCTGGGGCTATCAGAAGGCTGAAGAGCCATTCTTGCAAATAAAACCCTTGACCTTCTGCAAACTTGGAGCCAAGACATTTTTTTCCCCATTAAACACTTACAAATGACGTGATACTAAGAACAGGATTATTTTCTTCCTTATCTACATCTAGTAAATTATTCGCTGATCTGGCAGAGAGTGGTTTTGCAGACCAAAGAGACGTGCTGTAAAGGTGTGCAGGGATGTCAGAGGAGGTTTGAAAGATACGGATTGTTTGTTGGGGGCTTTTAGTTTGAGTTTTCTGTGTTTGCACTGTAGTCCATTAAGAACACACAGAATGCAAAATCTGTATGTACAAACTCAACAAAAATGAAATAGCTGTGATGAATACGAATATTTTTGCTTTTCAAATGGAAAAGCTCCAAATGTTTTAACACATGAAGCTTTCCTACCATCCATGCAAAGAAAACAACTGTACCTTCATTTCCCAAATGGGGAAGGCAACAGAGAGAGACGCGGTGATTTACAGTATCTCTGCATCAGCCAAAGCCAGCAGCCAGGAGTCTGGTTGCCTGGCCTCCACCTGAACCACCTACGCTCACTGTCCTCCTTACCCAAGAGACTAGAAGATTCCTCCTTCCCCTCAAAACGCTGTTTGAGGAGAATGAGGCTAGGCTGAAGAGAAGAAGGGTCTTCCTCCAAACAGGCAAACAGCATCTGCCCTCACACACACTGGAAAAAGGTCACACGCACAAGTCTAAGGAATCAAACTGCCACCAACTGTCCAGTATCGCTATTGAAGGAAACTCTTAGTTCATTATGTTTATGAACACCATGTGGCACTAATCTAGGACAACAAAACCATTTGTTTTTCTGTTAAGCAGACTTAAACTTAGATATATATTCTAAAAATCAATGTTATCTTTTTAAACAGCAATTGCATGTAGAAATGGCTAAGCAGAAGCATTTAACTGATTCAAAGTCACTAGTGGTTTTATAGATAATTGTTATATTTAATTTGCGAGTTTCCAAAATAAACAGCAATTACTCGAGACTCCCACGTGTCACTTCAATAATTAACGACCACCACCATCAGTGAGATCGCAGCCTGCCAAATCTGCGGGTAGCAGCAGAGACCCCGTCACACCCAGGAGCCTCTTGGCCCATGCAAAACACACCTCACGTTTAGGAGAGGGGAAGCGCTCAACTCCCACCAATTCCACAATTGAAAGTTTTATCTTTGCCTTTTTTATTGCAAGAAAAATCAAAATTATTTTGATAATTTTGAAAATGCATGTTTCGAAAAGAATTTATGGGGAATGGTCTGAAAATATTTCTAAGAATAAGCCAGCAAACTTGTTTTCATTGTTTTTATGCTAAATAAAATCTCTGATCACTACAGTCCGAAGTTTGAGCTTTCCACGTTTTCAGTCTTAAAAGATTTTTCGGTTGGTTTAAATGTACTGTTCTGGGGGTAAAATCAGAATAAAGACATTAATACAGTATTTGTCCGATCAAACAAGGCAAGAATTTCATTTTTAACTCACACCTAACAGGACATAGAAAATTCTTATATTTGTTAGACATAGCCTACTTCTCTTCAACATTTACACTACCCATTTACTGCCTTTGAAGATAGTTTCTCACAGGGAATCATAAGCAAAAATCTAATCCATGCTAGATACATCTCAACAGCACCTATACAGTCTCCACCTCTCAGAAAATAATCCATTTCGTTTGGAGTGTTCCCTCACAGGAGAGAAATGGGTTTTCATTTTTATTTGCATTTTTCTTTTAGTTACGTGTACGATGTTACGAATAAAGGCTAACACCTGGCCTCTCTCACGTGCGGGGCTAACTGACAATGAACCAGTATGGCGAATGGACATGTCATACTGGGAATTGTTTCAGGGGGCTGCAGTCCAAGTGAATGAGAAAGCCAGAAAGTCTATTTCCCAGTACAAGGTACTCACTGGAAAGCTCTACAACAGACACTGGCTTTGCTCACCGCAGCTTAAAGCAGTCCTGGAGTTCATGACTCTCTTCCACGGAGCCCAACAGCAAAGCCCTGCTGATTTGCTGGGTCAGTCTTGCTGGAACACAACACTAGGTATTATTACAGGTTTCCTAGGGTGACTAGGAGGAGTGCAAAATCAGGTCCAAAAGCCTGACGTTACTTGCTTTTAGAAACAGTAATGTAGTTTATAAATTTTGGGTTCCAAATTAGTCATCAAAATGTTTTTAAAAATATGTTCAAAACCACCCTGCTACTAGTAGTCAAATAACAAAACTCCCTACCAAACCAGCAATCTAGCTCTAGCTGTAAAATTAAATGGGGAAAATCAGGAGTCTTGCAAAAAATAACGTTACTCTCATGCATGCTAAACTTCGCAAACAAACTGTGGAAGGATAAATGGAGAACAACCTCAATAGGAAATAAAAATGAGTCAGAGGAGATACATTCCACAATGGACAATGGCTCATCTTTTATGACTTACAACACAATGATCTGATTACTGAATGATAGAAGAAAGATGCAGTTTTACTTAACAAAATTTTGTACCACAAACTAAAGGCATGTCTCAAGATAAAAGACCAAATTAATTTAATGAATTGTCTCTTTCAGTGGATCCTCTCTTTAAGCAGACATGTATTTGTATTAAACCACCCCATGTCCCAAAGCATATTCACAGGGAAAAAATGATCATCGACTCCTCGCTTTTCATAAAAAGCATCAATCATTATTACACAGCATTAACTCTGGTCAACAACAAAGCAGAACAAAACATAAAACCACTATCATGAGCAAATGTCTAAAATAGGTTTTGATAAAAACCTGTAAATCATTTACATCAGCAATGAAGTGGGCTGCCATTGGAAAAAGACGTTTTATTCTTAGAATAATCTCATTTTTGGCAGAAGCTTAGCTGTAACAATTATGCTGTTTAGGAATAAGGCGAGACAGATTATAAGCACACAGGCTTTCCTTCTGTTTGAGTATTTAGTTATGTAGCCATACGAAGACTCATTTATGTATTTTTAAAATGTTCTAAAAGTTGTTTCAGAGAATTTTGTTGTTCAAAAACTAGTATCATACACCTCAAGTGCTCAGTGGGGAAATGTCCACTGTACCTAGACATTTTGGGGAAGGGGGGTGGCGGGAGAGGGTGTTCCCTAAGCAGCACTGACAAATAGGTATTCATTTATAAAAATGCAGGAGCATACCTTCTGGCCAAGAAACAGACTTTTGGTGGACAGGACTGTGAAACCATCTGCAGGAGTTCCCTCTGTTGTACTGTCAGCGCTGGCTGATTTGCTCACTTCTCCCTGCTTCTTCTTCCAAAAATATAGTTAATTAGTTAACTCAAGGCCAAGAGAAAAACAGTTTAACACCACTAAGATATATGACATGCCATAAATGCTTACCAGGCAATAAAAGGCCAGTACGAACACTGGTGTTTGGATTTTATTCTTTATCCTCACTGATGTGACTGATTACAGCTGAAGGAATCGGTAAGAAAAACGACCTCAACGTCTGCAAACCTACATAAGCCTTTTCTTGCCTACGACAGCGCACAATGCAGACCAGACCACAGTTGTCTTAAATTTCACAGGAAAACATACAAATGCCCCCCAAACTTTTAACAGTTTTCTAATGGCTTGGGTGGAAAAAGGTAATATATCTATTTTTTATATATATATA